AAAGACGTTGCGGCAGTACCTGCCCAAGCAGTGTACTGTACGCAGAGTCTCAGTCTAGCTGCTGATAGTGGATGCACTCGCGGGTGTGAGTGTGGAGGGGTTCTGTTTGCAAGAGTAGGAATATAATCGGTTTGGGTAATAAGCTCCCCACCTAAACCCCCTTTGTAGTTTCTTTTGGATAGCTTAATGGTTTTAGCAATGTTGAAAAAGTGTCCTTGACTATCACATTGAAAGATATTATAGAAAATACATAATGATACTGTGAGCTAATGGGGCATGTGTGTTCAAGTGGTTGTATCTCTTTGGTAGACTTCTCTGTGTCAATTTGTATAAAACTTTTGCATTTTTCTGGATGATATGGATGTACCATATTGTTTTCACTCTTATCTTCCTAGCTGCATCTCTGAAAAACAGTAGCACTCCGGTTACATAAACTATTCCCACCTCTTCTTTCTCCTACCAATCCACTCTGGATCACAATTTTTTGTGGCTGTCTGAGGGAAGCTGGTAATTATTATATTTCTAAGACTTCCCACAAATCTGTAGGTTTCCATCATGAACACCAGATCACTTTTGTGCCATGATAGGCTTGTTGTATCATTGATGGTTTTGAGCTCTGTTAGCCCCTGGCTTCTCAACAACCGTGATGGAAAAAAGACACCACCAGGTGACACAATTGCCACCTTTTTTTTTTTTTCTTCTCTTAGGTGAAATACAGTTATACAAATAGCTTGATAAATCAAGCAAGTTCAGAGAGCCTCAATCTCCTGAAAGGTTTATGGCATTTCAGGTCTCTTAAGCACTTATGTCAGTGTTGCACTACACTGTTGAATTCATTAGATCTAGTCCAATAGAAATAAGGTCAGGCTGACATCCATTAGTCATCCATCAAATGGAAGTGTCTTGGTGGTTTTAATGAATTGGCAAAGATCACAGAGGTTGCAAGCCCCTCGCACACATGCATTGCCCTGGTGTTCCTTTGTTAGCAACCATGGGAGCTGAAATCATGTACTTCACGGTGGTTGGTTTTCAGATTGTTCTTATGTGATTTATCTTCAGCTGCAGGATGAAACGACACGTGCTGTAGGTCCCAAACCGGGGCGGGCTGAAATGCTGCCTGCTACAGGGATAGTAGGATAGTAGTACAGTTTAGTAGGATGGGCTGATGCTGAGCTGCCTTTGGTGGGCAGATAGCAGAGTGTTAATGAGCTCTGCTGGTCCCCTCCCCCAGATGTTAATGCTCTTTCCTAGTGCTGTAGTGTGTTTTGTCATTCTTGCCTGTGGTGGTGGAAGAGCCCTTTGGTGCCATGGGAAGGGACATCCAGCTGTCTGCAACTTGCTTGTGGAGGGGAGCAGAACTAGTCCCAGCAGATAGGAACAAGAGTGCAAATTGTTTCTATTAAAATTATGAACCTTTTGAAGGGGTTTGTGCAATTTGTCATCAGGGAATGTGGATCTCTTTCGTGTAGAAAAGCCAGAGATTACTGCAAGTCAGCAAGCCTGGCTGAATCAACAGTGCATGTCACTAAATTAAAAGATGCGTAACTCTTAATCCTGCAGTCTCCTTACCTCGATTGGTTGATATGGACTGGAGAGTGGACATCAAGACTTCTTCGGACAGCATTAGCAGAATAGCGGTCCCAACCTGCCTGCTACAGTTGAAGGTAATGTTAATGCACACCTACGTTAGACTCTGGGTTACAGCATTTAAGTGACTGAGTTAGTGGCAGTGAAGAAGAGTTCAGTGATAATGGTAAGAGTGATCAAAATGGCTGTGCTTTTTCAGGGCATGTTTAGAAATCCTATAACTGAGGTCTATATCAGTAGTGATAGACTCTTTGCTATAAGAGAGAGTGCTTTACTATTACAATAAGGAGCCAGCTGACTAGGCCCTGGGTCAGCTTGAGTTGTTTGAAATATAGGGACAGGATAAGGACAGTAAATCACAATATGCCATCTGCTCATTTTTCAAAGTCAGTCAATTCAGTAGCTTCTTTACTAGACTTGTGTTACTCAGGATGCAGGGTTTGGCTAGCAGTGTACTGGCAAAAAGACTTCTCTCACATACCATGTCTATCAGCTTTGGGAAGGAAATGGCTGGACTCCTTGGACCCAGCTACAAATAGAGTGGGATTTAAACCTTCCATTTTGCACAAGCACTGAAGTTGGGTTTGGGTTGAGTCAGCTCTTTTTTTGTAGAAGAGAAGGGTTGGGGTAAATGTAATTGCTGTGTAGACGTTAACTATCCCATGCTATTTCTAGTGACAAGATGCTAGTAGCAGATGAGATGCTTATTAGAGATGAGGTTTGTCCTGGTGTCTTTACTCAGAACTTCTCCCTTGCCCCTTGTGTCCCAGACCTGCTGGTTGCTTACTGTTTGTGTTGGAAGAAGCTGCATTGCTTTGGTTTAGAAAATACTGTATTGCTCTTCAGGATAAGAAAAATTACCCTACAAGTCAAGGATGTGTTTTTTGTTTTTATTTAGTCAATGCCTTGCTTTTCCATTCAACCTTGATTTGCTGCTGGGGGCTGTATGTGTGGATTTCTCATGTAATTTCAACCCATGTTCCTATTTCAGATTCAGGAGGATGCTGCCTTGTGTGGGAATAACCCAATGATCTCTGCAATGACTGTCGAGTTGAGTAAAGAAACCCTGGATACTATGTTAGAGGGCCTGGGAAGGATCCGGGACCAGCTCTCTGCCGTTGCAAACAAATGAATGCCTGGGGTGTACATCTCAGCTGCCACTCAAACCTGGAAAGGACCTCTCCTCCATCTTAATTCAAGCTCTCTTACTTTCTGGGATCTTGCTCTCTTTGTTAACTAGAAATTTTTTTTAATGAATTGTTTTGCTGATAACACAGCTTTTCCCAGGCAAACACTTAAACGTGCCCTTGGTCCAGTGCCAAATGTATTTACTAATGTTGAATGAAAACTGGTCTGTATTTCAAGGAAGGATTTAAAGCCTCAGAGTCTGACTTAATCATGAGGGCTGGAATGGGAATAACAAACACCAGCAACCAATGAAGCGAATTTATCTCCCTGCCCTGAAATAAGGGACTTAAAAAGCTCAGGCTGGCTAATGGGCTAGCTTCCAGCATTAGCAGACATTGAGGGTGCTTCTCTCTTGACTATGCATGTATGGAGGTGCATGCTGTATGAATCTTTTTCTCTCTCCCTCTCAATGAGGCACAGCCATGCCGCAGATTGTTATTACAGGATAATGCTTTGAAATAAGGCAATTATGCTGTAGTGCATTCCCTTCTGATCAGCTGTGTATCACCATTTGCAAAATGACTGATCTGAACTCCTCAGTCTAAGTAACTGGGTTGGAACATCTTTAGCAGCATGTAATTTCTTCCTTCCATTTGAAAAGAAAAGGGGGGTTTGATCACAGGTGTTGGGTTTATTAGACTTAAGCTTTGTCTTCTGCAAAAAAAAAAAGGAAGCGAAGACAGAAGGTAAAGGATCAATAGCAACTGTCTGTACCACAAAAAGCCTTTGTGTGGCAATCAGTGCCTGTACTCCCCGACATGTCAAGTTATAGGTTTGTGTAAAACAAATCTTTTAATAAAAGACACAATTAAACTGCTTCTTGGTTGAATAAACTCTCTCTTGTCCAAAAGAGACATTGCTGTAGCCTGTTTCCCCTAGTCTCTAGCTTGTTTCCTCCTTTGTCCCACTCCATTTCCCTTGCCAGTTCAAGTCAGTCATCTTGGCTGTGGGCTCCAGCCCTGTGCATTATCATGGATATAGCCAGGCATTGTCTGAGTCAAAACCTTTCAGGCATATTTTTTGCAAGGGTAAAACGTGTGGCTTCAAACAGGTCTTTTATATTTCTATATTGTAAATGGGATTCAGCCCCACTCCGACCTCTGCAGCTGGGACCCAGTGTACCTTTCCTTTAGCAAGGTCTCAAAGTCATTACAAGCATTATTTCATTCAAGGAAGTAAGTGCAATGATAGTACAGGAAAATATAGGCTTTCTTAATAATATATGTCTGTAGCAGGGTACTGGGGTGTGTCTGCTCCTTTATGGGAGCAAGCAGCCCAAGAGGCTGCTTGCAGGTGGGGAGGAGGACTAATGAGAGACTTACCTGACCAGAAGAGGGATCAGGCTGGAGCTATATAAGTCCAGAACCTGAACCAGTCAGGTAGTCACTCCCTGGCAAACATGAAGTGAGGCGCTCCTGCAACAGAGCTCCTGCAGGGACCTGGATTTATCTAAACAACTCTGCAGGCCTGGGGAGGCAAGTTCTTTGGGTAGAGAAAGACTGGGTTTTATAGGCAAGTGGCCTTTGTTTTATGTTAAACCGCTAGAGAGTTTGAGGTGTCTGCCAGAGGGCTGAGATACCTTTTTGTTTATTTATGGTGTGGCATGGTGTAGGGGAAGAAGAGAGCCATGTATTGAACTCTTAAGGCTAGGGGAGCCCTGAAAGGGCACAGGTGCACACACAGCCCTTGAAGCTGCAGGGGCCCTGCAGGGGCGCAGGCCAGCCAAGAGGGCCCACTGAACTTAAGGGTTGAATCAAGGTTGTTGGAGGTCCAAAAGAGACCCAGTGGTACTGCAAATGGACTAAGGATCACTCTAAATCCCATGGGCAGTCTCCCTTATTCAACCTCTAGTTAAAAAAATGGTGGGGCAGGCGAGCAATTAAGGCAGGGCTGCAATAGCGACTGAGCCTGATGGGAGTCGCATAGCCACCAGGGGGCATCACTGCAAAAATCAGAGGCATCTAGCATTCTGTAACAGATTCCTTGTGGCTGAGAAAGGACAGCTGCCAAAACACTGAAAAAGTTCAGACCACGCTGTCTATTTTAAATAAGAAATAACTGTTTTTAACAATAGTGTCTGTGTCTTTACTAATATATAAATATATATTATACAACAAGGTACTCAGCAATAAAGAAGCTGGTACCATCAGGTGGCAAGTTGGGAATTCAGCATGGAAATCTTGAAGCTGAAAAACCCCAAAATGTTATAAAGGCTAATTAACTGCATGATTGGCAATTGCACAGAAAGCTTTGAATGTGAATCCATACTAACCTTCCCACTAAACTGTAGAGAATAATCTAGCAGTGGTACGGAGGTGTGTTCAGCTGTTTTGTGTTTTACTGTTATCCTCTGGATGATGAACCCAGCAAACCAGTCAAATGACTCTATAACGCATTTTTAGACAAAGACAAAGCCTTCTAGGAGCACAAAGATATTCATTCCAACTTCCAACATCCCACCTGTCAGTGTTAGCTGCCTTCTAAGAGCACAGAGATACATAAAGTAGATGAAAGTACGCCACAGACGACAACCTGTACTAACAAGTTCCTGACTGGAATTCAGTACAACAAAATTTCCTTTTTGCCTCAGTCTTCACAGGGCAGGTCAGCTCCCAGACTACTGCACTGGGCAGCACAGTTTAGGGAAGAGGTGAGCAGCCCTCTGGTGAAAGAACAAGTTAAGGACCACGTAGAAAAGCTGGACATGTACAAGTTCATGGGGCCAGGTGGGATGCACCCAAGGGTGCCGAGGGAGTTGGCTGACGTGACTGCAGAGCCGTTGGCCATCATCTTTGAAAACTCACGGCAATCAGGAGAGGTCTGGATGACTGGAAAAGGGCAAATGTTGTCCAATATGTCTTAAACTTGGTTTAACACAATATCTTTCAACTCACAGTTTCAGGAACTTGTAAAGAAGTTTCTTCTCGGGTGAAAAGGGACACCATTCTCACTCCAGCTGGACATTTTTTCAAGACTTTGTCATAAGCATGAGTCACTCCATGACTGGCCCATATCAGCTTTGCCCAGCAATAAAGCATATAAAACACTCGCTTCAAAATATATTGCCCCCAAGCCAAAATATCTGGACAAAGCATCGCCTAAAAAGACATCAGTAAGATCTGCAAAGAGTATAGGAAAATAAGAATGGAAAGTACCTCTTGGGTCATCAACTCCAGCCTTCTGCTATCACAGGCAACCCTGTCTCACAGTCCTTTTTGTAAACTGATGAAGCTCCACAGTTCCTACTAGTGTGAAGAAAGAATACAGCAGTCATCATCAGGCATAGGGTAAATCACATAAATAAACTCTCTATTGAGAAGCCATCATTACGGGCACAAAACTGAGCCAGAGAACCCATGTTTCAGGCCAGCTTAAACTGGTAAGTCAAAATATGTTGTATTTACTTGAATCCAAAGAGTCCCCTCCCGCATTCAACATCCCGCTGGGGTGGGGGACAGGAGGGAAGCCATCCCCTTGGATTTGAATACAAGGTTGTGGGGCAGGTGGCTCCTGCAGCTCCAACTCTATCCTGAGCCTGGGTTGGAGCCACAGTCAGAGCCACAGCAGTTGCCTGGCTCCCCCCAGCCTCTGCGCCCACTCCATCCCTGCTGCATACTATCAAGCACAGCTCCAGTCTGGCTCCATTCCCTTCCAGGCACCAAACACATGCCAGCTCCAGCTCCTGCCTGGCTATGCAGCAGTGACAGTAGCGGGTCAGGCCTGGGATGCTGCTGCATGGCTGGGCAAGGGCTGGGGCTTGCTTATGCTCGGTGCCTAGGGGGAATGGAGCCGGAGCTGGAGCATACCTGACAGTAAGGAGTGGAGGAGGGGGGTGGGAGCAGATGCTGCAGGGGGACAGGAAGCAGGGGGTACAGGTAGCAAGGGCACAGGCAGGCTGCAGGGAGACAAGAGGTGGTGGGAGTAGCTGCAGAAGTAAGGGCATCAGAGGGGGACAAGTGGTTGGCAGTAGGCAGTGGGACGGGGAGCAGGTGGCAGGGGGGCAGGCACAGGAGGAGCAAATGGCAAGGGGAGGGCAAGAGGTATGGGCCAGGCTCCCTGCCCCCTAGCTGCCATTTTCCCTCTGGCAGGAGTGAGGAGATGAATTTAAGACAATCCTCCAATAACTAGATTCTAGACATGGAAAAAGTAAAACAATCTAATAACTGGGGAGTCATCTTGGATTTGGGCAAATACAGTAACTTGTCTAATTTCCTCCTTGAGAATTTTTGTTTTTGCTTGAACAAAAGTAAGCAATCCCACAATCTGTTTGGTGTTGAAACTTCATTGGAGATGAAATAAGGATCTAAACAGAAGGAGCCTTTCAAGACTAGCTACCCAGATTAGTATAGAACTAGAAGAAAAATCAGCATTTGTAATAAATTTGTAATGTGATCTTGAATTAATAAAATTGAACCTCTCTTTAAAATTAGCCCATCATTATTTTCCTGTCTGTAACGTCCTCACCTGCCTTAAAACTAGTTTGGCTAACTAAATTCATATTCTTCAGTCTGCTAGAACAGGCAACTTGTCTCAGGTTATTTTGTTAATAGCCTCTCTTTCCTGCAGGCATTTGGATGGATCAGCTAAGGCAAAGAAAAGATGACATTTGCCTTGCAGCTGACCAGGTGGCGGAGCTGGGACTCTAGAATAATCTTGGGTCAGCTCTTTCATGAACCCCTTGACCAAGCTGCCTTCCTGGTGCTCATCTGCTTCTGCTGTAGTGTTTTCTGGGTTCTGTCAGGACTTTTCCAAACATATCTTCTGATATTTCTGAACGGTGTACAGCTCATTCTATGCTTTCACTGTAAAAACGAGAGTGGCTGATTTTCGGTCTGCTTGTTCAATGGCTTGATTCCTTCAGAAGAGAATTTATTTAAATTA